CATCTTATGTCCCCCTCGAAGTCACAAAACTTTTGTCTGAAACATTTTTCTTTAAAATGTCGCGTTTACGAAAAAATCGGGTGAGACGGGTAGTCTGGGACACCCTGTATATATTTTCTTTCGACTGAGAATGTCCTCATACTGGTATGATAATTGAGTGTAATTACAAAAGTAAAGCTGCGTTCATACAAAAGAAATTTAGGATATATAATATACATATTTTAAAATCATACATAAATAATTTTTTAACTTTTTTTCTATGAGGATATTGTGATATTGTACACATTGTAGTTATTGTAGATATTATAAGATTAAAAGTGCAATGTTAATATTGTATTATGAAAAAATGAAATATATTAGAATATAGAAGAATATATATAGAATTCATTTTCCATATATGTGCCAATATTTTTTGTGAATGCAGCTTAATCTTAATCTTAAGCTTAAGCTAGTCAAACTTTTTCATTGATAAACTAACCTGGATTTCCACAATAGTACTCACAACAGCGATTTCCAATTTCGACTCGATGATTTAGCGCTCGGTCATGTGCAATGTGTTACATAATTCTATAATTAAAGATAATTAAAAATTGACAAATAACAGCCAATAAAGCGCTCTGAAGAGCGATACTCCTATTTCATTTAATATGTAGTATTATTAAAAATATTAAAATTTATAATTTCCGCGCAATAATTCTATCCATCTTTATTTTAACTAAAGATTTATAACTTCTGGATTTATTAGTATACTGCAGTATAAAGATTAGAATTATTCGAGAAAATGTGGTCGCCAGATTACTGCTTCGTTGTATCTGTGCATCGATTATGAAATGGTTTATATAACCTCATATGTTATTTAATATTATTTATAATGCATAATATCATACATATCTATAAAACGTTGTCAGTATTTGGTGATCTTCCAAAATGATAGACCATATTTATGTGCAAATATTATACATTATCAGCTTTATAATAAGTGGAGATAGAGCAATAAGTATAATATAAGTTCATTTATACAATTGCATACTTTTGTAATCATCAATAATATAATTTAAATATATAGTCAATCATTAAATATAAAGATAAAATATAAATATATACTTATTCCGAATGATGTAAAAAATTATGCATGGTAACTGTTATAAATTCAAAATAATTATATTATTATATTTATATATTCACAATTAATTATAGAGGATATTACTCGCGTTTCCTCTTTCACTCATAAATTTTACAATTTGTAATTATTGGTTATATATAATGTGTGAAAATTAATTATATTTCCATGTTGAAAACAATATTGTTTATACATATATATATATACCGGGTGTTTCAGACCACCCGTCCCACCCTTTTAAAACGGGGCTGTGCTTGTACAAAAAAATGGCTCAGACGAAATTTGCATGATTTCGAAGGATCTATCTGATGGTGACCTTGAATTCGACCTTGAGATCGACCTTCAAGGTTATTTGAAGGTCAAAGTGTTTTTTTTAAATAGGAACCCCTATTTTTGATTGTATATTCTTATAGCTGAGCTCGAGAGCTTTCCAAAACACTATAATAAAATATTTTTCCCTCAAGTATTTATCGAGTTATGAGGCTTCAAATCATTTCTTAATTTTACATAAACCGTAAAATATCTTGTAAAATATTCACTTTTCGATTATTTTACCTTAATACTTTTATGTACAAAATAATGAGAGGAATCAATTGGCGTAAAGAAAACATATAGTTGTTTTTAAGAAAAAATATGTAATTTGCAATTAACAATTCCAAATTTTTTCTTAAAAACAACTGTATGTTTTCTTTACACCAATTGATTCCTTTCATTATTTTGTATATAAAAGTATGAAGGTAAGACAATCGAAAAATGAATGGTTTACTAGATATTTTATGATTTATGTAAAATTAAGAAATTATTTCAAGGCTTATAACTCAAAAAGTACTTAATGAAAAGATACTTAATTATACTGTTTTGGAAAGCTCTCGAGATAAGCTACAAGAATATGCAATGAAAAATAGAGAGTTCCATTTAAGAAATTGAAAGTAACCTTTATGTGACCCTCAAATGACTATCCAAAGTCAAATTTTTGACACCCATCTTCTGTCCCCCTCGAAGTCAAGCAACTTTTATTTGAAACATTTTGTTGTACATTCAAATATAAAAAAGTTATTTGAGTGGATCACTTAAAATGGCCCACCCTGTATATATATATATATATATATATATATATATATATATATTGCGACGTTTATTCAATTGAGATTCAAAATGAATCACGACACTCCTCGAGATGTTGGATGGGAGTGTGCGCGGGGGAGCGAAAACGCCGTCAAAAACAATAACGAAATTATTGTACTCGCGTTCTGAGGAACAGGGATGGAGACGTTCTCGCGCGAGCCGCGGCGGAGCGGAGACCGTATCGATATATCGAAAAGCTGGGCGCCAGATGCGGTCTTTCACGCATCAGTTTTCGCGAAAAAGCCGAAAGACGTTAAAAGAAAACGGTAGCCTGCTTCGCCACGGGCCGACTAGCTCGCCTAACGGTAGAGGGGAGGGGTTATTAGAGAAAGTTAATTGATTATGCGAGTCTTCGCGAAATTAACGGACGACAGACACAACGACAATCGACAACCAAGCGAGACGAACACTTAAATAAATTACGCGATTTGAACAAAAAAAATTAACAAGTTTATTACTAGAGGATTAAAGTAACACTACGAGTGAATAATTAACAAATCAATAACATGCATTGAATCAGTTTTGAACAATGCCTGAGCAAACAATAATAAGAGATAATTGAACTGAAATTAACAATTCCTTACAAAGATATTAGTTCGCTATTAACTCTCCGAAAGAAAACGAGAACGAATCATACAACTAACAAAAAGAACGACGCGGGACGACAAATTCATACGAAATACGGGAGCGAAAAGTACAATATAATTGATCCTGGCACGAAAATTGCGACGGTATTCTGAGCGAGTATCTGCTCGAATCGACAACGAAAATGAGAGCGCTAATACTATCCGGTTATTTATCCGAGCCCGTTTTTATGGCCGGAGTTCGCAGGACAGAGCGAGGCTTGGCGGAATAATAAGAATTTTCGGTACAAAAATATTCGCGGATATCATTCAAACGAGAGCATAATTTCTATAACCAGACCTACCACTTATCGCAACGGAATTTTCCCCGCAATTCCCTAATTCGCGGAACAAATCGGCAGCTTAATAATTCGACAACATAATTAACCGAAAATACGGAATAATTTTGCGAAGACGGATCATATATGCGATAGGCGAACGATACTCTTACTTGCATTAGCCGACGGTACACGGAGAATTTTCTCCGCCGATATCTCGCCCTTTTCTCCCGCGCCAATCGCTCAATTTTACTCTCTATACTCGGGCGATTATCTCACACCACACTCGATAAATTCGGCAGACGCTACATATTATTTAGTACGCGCCATTCGATCGTGTAATAAGCGCGACAAAGACGACCATATTCTGTTATCCTTTATTACGCTCTTTTCGGCGGCGTAATAAGCGCGACAATGACGCAAATACTTTCGCGCTCGCTCTACAATGAAATATCAAACACGCTCAGATGCACTCTTACAATTAACGATGACATACACGCAATCAGACATCCAAAAATCGCGCGGAGATACGTCCCGGGATATTCTACGCGGCGACAACAGCGGTACGACAACCCGGGCGGTATTCGCTTTCACGATCCTTCGCGCACGCGGTCGATATTCGCCGGTCGATAGCTTCGCGTACAGAACACCCGAAACCCGGAGAGAGACGAACGTTGCCTTATCAATTTATCGCCGACGTTACAATGGTCCTTCCTCGGTCGCTTGCCTCCGGTCGCCCGACAAATCCACGAAATATCACCGTCTCGGCAAACGGCTCGAGCGGTCGCGAAACACGAAAAATATGGCGACGGCGGCAGAACGGCCGGCACGCGGACGAAATCGCGTACGTGGCTTTTACGAAAGGATGGGCAACCTCACCGATAACACGTCCTCCTGCTGGGGTGGTCCTCGGCCTCGTCCTCTGCTCGGTCTCTCGGCAGCAACGACACACAATTAATTTTCACGAGCTTACAATTCGACTGCTACTAATGAGCGTCCGCACCAGAATGATCCTGGGATCTCGCGGCCCGGGGTCGATAGCGGCGTCAATGACCGCTTAGTGGGGTGCGCAGCCCCGCGGCCAATCAGGATTCGGCACGCGAAAGCGTCCTAGCGCCTCGCGAGATCCGCGGCGCTTTTAGCGCTTCGCGCGCAATTAATTCGATTTGAATTATATAATTGCTGTCGCGGGCCCCGGTACAAGGGCCCGTTGGAGGCTCCGCTGTCGTCTGTCCTCCTCGGAGGGTAGCGTCGATCGGACTTTGGTCCTCCTTCCTGGGACGTGGGTAAATTCCCATGGTATCGTCCTTTCATCCGCTATTATCTCCTCCGTTCGCTGGCGTTAAGCGTCCTGCTGCAATCTTCCTTGATGTGCTTCCGGTCCTCCGGATCTTCTCCGGCGAGGTGCCCGTTGTCGTTTATTACAAACAAAGAAAAATTCGATACAATTAATAACAATCTTAATAAACTATCGATAGCGCTCGTCTCTCCGGGGATTTTTAGATAACGCTCTCTCGAGGTTGATTCTGGCGCGGCCGCTCGGCCTGCGCCCCGTAAAATCTCGGGGCGGATGGACGCTCTAAAGGACGGCAACGTCACAATATATATATATATATAATCGCAATTATTAGGTTTCGCTTCCATTACTCAAAAACACAAATTAAATATATCATTATAATACATTGTTTACAATTATAAAAATGGATGTGATATTTTTTAATAATCAAAATTTTATGGAAGATAAGATTAAAAGATTTCTTTTATCTTTATTGATAAATCTAATATTAAGATTAAACCTGAAAATAACAAAATCAATTTAGAAATATTCTAGAAATATTTTTTCTACATTAAGATTTATTGAATCGTTTGGAAAATAAGATAAATATTAATTTAATTATTTCTAAATAGTATCGACTGGACTCAGTAAGGCATCTTCCATGTTCTTTCTTAATGCTATAATATTTTCCAGACAAAATTTGAAATTTGGTCTAGCATCCGCTGCACTCCAGCAACGTAGCATCAACTGATACAATGGTGACGGACAGTTAAGAGTCATCGGCAACCTGTTTCCAACACGTACATAATATATCACTTCTTTATCATTCTTGTCCATAAGGTTTCTCACCCAACGATGTAATTTCCCACATTAATACCCCAAATGACCAAACATCGCTTTGAGAAGTAAATATTTCAATCATCAAAGATTCGGGTGCCATCCAGCGAATAGGAAAATAATGTTCTCCTTTCTAAAACATGATTTAAACAAAAATTTAATGTTCTGATTCTAGTTGTTCATTTTTAGAATATGTGCAAAATGAAAAAAACGTTCATTTATCTTTTGCTTTATATAAATAAAAATTATTTATATTCTATATTACTTAAAGAAACAATGCATGATACTATTATGATAAAAAAATGGAAAGTATTTTCAAAAGAATTAATTTTTTAATCATTAATTTTTTTTCATAACTGTATACCATGCGATAATAATTATCTTTGTAGATATCTCTAGCTAGTCCAAAATCTCCAATTTTGATGACACGATTCTCTCGATTTCTCGAAGATACTAAACAATTGCGACACGCTAGATCTCGATGTACGAAACGCAACTCTTCCAAGTAGCAACAACCTCGCGCAACATCTTCGCACATGGCGAGTAAATCCTGCAAACGCAGAGCAGGCGAATCTGACGCTTCCAAATTTCGACAATCTCTTAAATATTGTAACAGATCTGTTTCGATCAATTCCAACACTAATAACGGAGAATCTCCATCTAAGCAAACGGCCAACAACCTTAATATATGTTTGTGTCGAAAATGATTCATAAGCTTGGCTTCCTCTAACAAATTCTTTTTCTGATGGGAAGAAGCATCTTTCCGAAGCGTTTTTATTGCAACGGATATCTCTGTGCCTGATCTTTCTAAGTTCTTCACATTTCCTTGAAACATCTGCAAAATATTTCACACAAATTTACATGCGTACTTCATTAGAAAATATATATAGTTTAATGTCAAGTAATATTATATTTTACTTTATATTAAATAATTCAACGAAAAATGTATAATAAGTGCATGTTTGTTGTCTCATCAAAATTTTATATTACTTATAATCTATTATAAAAATTTATGTAATTTATATCTTTATTAGAAAATACATATCTGTTTTGTTAATTCAAAAATTAATTTGAAACATTGCTTGAAAAAATTAATTTTTACCTTTCCGAATGAGCCGCTTCCAAGAAGTTTTGTAAATGTAATCTGTTTACGTGCGACTATGGTTACCGCACATTCATCTGGATTATAATGTAACGTAGAATTATCAATCATGAATTGAGTATTTCGCCAAGGTTCATAAAGATTCACCAATTCCATATCGATCATTGTTGAAGACAAAAATTGTTCATTATTACCTCTGCGATGCACTGTTATGAAATTTCGAATTAATTATGTAATAATATGTATTATAAAATCTTTTGTTTTTAATAAATTTATTCGTTTAGTTTTATATAAGTAAATTACTATTTTCAGTAAATCTCTAGATATTATATCAGTTATATATGTATAATCTACAATTCAAGTCGATACCTAAATCAAATATACTTACAATAATAAAAGTACCAGATGCAAATTATAGTAACTATAACGATAAAACTTAACATGAAGAATAATAAGTAATATTTTTTCGCTATTATTCCAGGAGTGCTCGGAATATCTATATTAAGCAAAAATATAATTTTAATATCTTCGTCTGTGTATGTTTTTACAAATTTAATTTTACTTATAACTTTAATACAAAATATAATTTTTTAAATTTTAAGCATATTCATATCTAAAAAAATTAGAACATAATATCTATGCAGCACAGAATATTACAACTACTTTGCAACAATATTGCAACATCACAAATTGCAATGCAACATTACACAAACATTGTAGAAATATAAATTAACAAAATATGATATAAAATATGATACAAAATATATATTGGGTATTAGCAATGTAATATTGATCTTCTGAAACCATTGGGAAACTATAACACTCTTTAATTTATCTATAAAAATAATGTAATAATATATATTTTTATATTTATATATATGCGATGAATTTTACTTTTTTGCAGAAGTCAAACGAATTAATGACACAGAAATAATATTAGTCGAGTAAATATAATTCTAAGCTAAAGATAAACATTTTTATTCTTTTATTAAAATATAGATAACATTTTATATCAAATTTTGTTAAAATATATTTTATGATATATTTTTACTTTATGTACGAATACGATATCTTTTTATTATATTAAGAATAGATATTTTTATATCTATCATTTTATTTTTCAATGTATTTTTATGTTTTTCTCATACAAATAAATATAAATATAACGTATTTTTAAAATTTTTAAATAAAAATATAATTAGTAATGTTTAATTAATTCTATAACTAATGTTTATATATGTATAAACATTAATTAACCATTAGAGAAAGATATATATATATATATATATATATATATATATATATATACAGGGTGTCCCTGAGCATGTGCTCACTCATTTGTAAAAGGATAGAGCGCAGTAAATTAAATAAAGAAATCCTATTATATGTAACGATTTTTGTAATAACAATCGAAATATTAATTATTGAAATCGGACGAATGAGAGAAGCGCTCGAGCGCTCGAGCTATAGCACGGCCCACCGTGTCAGACATTGCCTGCCGACACGCGGCGGGAGGAGGGACAACGCGCCGCTACCCGTGGTTACCGCTATCGCCATTTTCACGTTTCACTGCATCGCGTCAAGACTCGCATCTCGCGTCTCATTTCTGGCATTGTTTGGCGCGCTGTCCCTCCTCCCGCCGCGTGTCGGCAGGCAATATCTGACACGGTGGGCCGTGCTATAGCTCGAGCGCTCGAGCGCTTCTCTCATTCGTCCGATTTCAATAATTAATATTTCGATTGTTATTACAAAAATCGTTATATATAATAGGATTTCTTTATTTAATTTACTGCGCTTTACCTTTTTACAAATGAGTGAGCACATGCTCAGGGACACCCTGTATATATATATATATATATATATATATATATATATATGTATATACAGGGTGAGTCATTTTAATCAATACACTCGAATATCTCGAAAACAGCACTCTTCAGAAAGAAATGTTTCAAACAAAAATTGTAGGGTGTGAAGGGGGACATAAGATGGTAGCATTGGTTTGACCTTGGAAACTCGTTTGAAAGTCACATAAAAGTCATCTTCAATTTCTTAAATTGAACCCACTATTTTTCATTACATATTCTTGTAGCTTATCTCGAGAGCTTTCCAAAACACTACAGACAAATGTTTTTTCATTAAGTACTTTTTGAGTTATAAGGCTTCAAAGTTTGCAGTACTTCGATATAAAATGCAAAATATCTCGTAAAATATTTTGTTTTCGGTAGTCTTACCCTAATACTTTTATGCACAGGATAATGAGACAAAACTATTGGTGCAAAGAAAACGTATGATTGTTTATAATAAAAAATGTGTAATTTCCAATGCACTTTTTGTTATAAACAATCATACGTTTTCTTTGCACCAATAGTTTTGTCTCATTATCCTGTGCATAAAAGTATTAGGGTAAGACTACCGAAAACAAAATATTTTACGAGATATTTTGCATTTTATATCGAAGTACTGCAAACTTTGAAGCCTTATAACTCAAAAAGTACTTAATGAAAAAACATTTGTCTGTAGTGTTTTGGAAAGCTCTCGAGATAAGCTACAAGAATATGTAATGAAAAATAGTGGGTTCAATTTAAGAAATTGAAGATGACTTTTATGTGACTTTCAAACGAGTTTCCAAGGTCAAACCAATGCTACCATCTTATGTCCCCCTTCACACCCTACAATTTTTGTTTGAAACATTTCTTTCTGAAGAGTGCTGTTTTCGAGATATTCGAGTGTATTGATTAAAATGACTCACTCTATACAGGGTCTACCAAAAGTGTGGAAACCCCTAAATATCTCGGAAAATATACGTTTTACAGAAAAGTGTTTCCAACAAAAGTTGTAGGGTTTAAGAAGATCTATATACTGATTCTATCAGTTTGACCTTGGATGGCGTCGTCAAGGTCAGGTCAAGGTCACATTGACTTTTTTAAATGACACCCCCTACATTTGATTGCATATTCTTATAGCTTAATTCAAGAGCTTTCCAAAACACTATAATAATGTTCATTTTTATTAAGTACTTTGCGAGTTATGAGGGTTGAATGATAGAGTAGCGCCGGTATTAACATTATCCAAGGTGTACTACATGGAGGTTACTCGCTCGGATTTGCATCTGTTGTGTGTGTGATCCAGCTAACTAAGGCAAGATCGATTCCTCAACATATCCTCATATTTCGCTGAAGTCAAATTGCTAAAAAATTGCTCCATAAAACGTGTATGAAACGTCTCGTTAGTTCCTTCATTTACCGCTATGTGACGCACTACATGCAGTCTAACTCGCATTTAAAATTCAACTAAGAATGTATAAAGCTATCAAAGAACGAGCACCTTCTAACTTCAGCTTTGAGCAAGCAGAAATTAATTGTTATCGTCCAAATACAACGTACGATTAATTAAAATTAAACGTTTTAAAAATGGCTGGCGACTTGTCGGAACGTGAAAGAATCACTATCCTCATGATGCGTGGATGGGGTGATAACGAAAGATCGTTCTCTGATGTCGTTCGATTATTTAATGACACGTATCCGAACCGTCGAATTAATAAGTCCACTGTGTTAAAAACAATAGAACGTTTTAGACAAACTGGTAGCGTAAGAAATCGCTCTAAGTCAGGAAGACCATTGTCTGCAACCAACGAAGAAAAACAACTTGATGTTCTGCAGACATTTATTGAAGATCCCAATTCTAGTGTTCAGAGAGTCGCTCAAACTCACGATATTGCTCCCATGTCGGTTTGGAGAATTTTAAAGAAGAACAAGTTCCATCCATATAAATTGCAATACGTTCAAGAATTGCAAAACGGAGATGAGGAGCGTCGTATACATTTCTGTGAAAGAATGATGGCACTAATAGATGTCCGGCCCATCTTCCCTTATCAAATTGTTTTCACAGACGAGGCAACTTTTACCTTAACGGGAGAAGTTAATAATCAAAATTTTCGTTTCTGGTCAGATGAGAATCCGAATTGGGTGCGGGAAACTCACACACAACATCCACAAAAAATAAATGTATGGTGCGGAATAATAGATGGCTATTTAATAGGGCCGTTTTTTTTTGAAGAATATTTGAACGCTCAAAGGTATGAGAGATTACTTGTTGATCAAATAATTCCAGCCATACAGAATACTTTTCCAAATAATTTCCAAGAAATATGGTTTCAGCATGATGGAGCTCCTGCTCATTTTGGTGCAGGACCACGTCGTATTTTAAATGAGACTTTTCCGCTACGGTGGATAGGAAGAAGGAACGGAAATGAGGGAGGAGAGGATTGGCCACCTCGGTCACCAGATCTAACTCCTCTTGATTATTATCTATGAGGATATCTGAAGAGTAAGGTTTACAGAACAAAACCTAAAACCATTCACGAATTGATACAGCGAATAAGGGATGAAATGGCTTTGATACCTTTTGAAACGAATCGTAAAGTCATTTCTACATTCTACCAAAGATTAGCATATTGTCAGGAAGTAAATGGCAGCCACTTTCAGCATTTACTTTAACACATTGAAACACATTTGCAATCGTTTGGTGCAACCTAACCTGATCTCTGTATACACGCACCGCACGCACGCACACGCACACATTTCGAACAATTATTATGATAAATGAGCATCCACAAATTTATTTACTGTTTACTATGTCGATTGCTTTCCAGGTCTTTAAATGCTCGATTGTAATTTGGTTGGGTCTTTGCTTTTGCTGACTGGATCCACGACCGATCTTGCCTTAGTTAGCTGGATCACACACACAACAGATGCAAATCCGAGCGAGTAACCTCCATGTAGTACACCTTGGATAATGTTAATACCGGCGCTACTCTATCATTCAACCCTCATAACTCGCAAAGTACTTAATAAAAATGAACATTATTATAGTGTTTTGGAAAGCTCTTGAATTAAGCTATAAGAATATGCAATCAAATGTAGGGGGTGTCATTTAAAAAAGTCAATGTGACCTTGACCTGACCTTGACGACGCCATCCAAGGTCAAACTGATAGAATCAGTATATAGATCTTCTTAAACCCTACAACTTTTGTTGGAAACACTTTTCTGTAAAACGTATATTTTCCGAGATATTTAGGGGTTTCCACACTTTTGGTAGACCCTGTATATATATATATATATATATATATATATATATATATATATATATATATATATATATAGGGTATCCCATTTTAATGAATGACCCCGAATAACT